GTCCAGAGGAAGGTGACCAAAATGGTGAAGGGTCTGGAAACCATGCCCAAAGAGGAATGACTTAGGGAACTGGGTATGTTTAGCCTGGAGAAGAGACAGTTCATAGGTGATATGATATCCCTGTTTAAATATTCAGGTTGTCCAAAGCAGTTGTCCATAAATGAAGGTAACTGATACTGGTTTTGGTTGGCTGCTGACTATGACTAGAATTCTGCTGGTGTATGCAACTTGCATTTGTCTTTGTTTCACAGCAGTGGCAGACTGGATGTTCTGGCTCTGAGCAGTTTACTTTTCCAACGGTTCTATGGCCACTATTCCCTCAAACCTTTTCCTCTTCCTGCCACCAACTATGCTGGTGTAGTTACTTCAGCACAGCACACCAATAGGATTCCAGACTCATGGAGTCCTTATCTGTGTGGTAACTAGAACTGATGATGTGCAAAGTTAAATATCATCAATGCAACACTGCAGAAAATTATGGAAAAGTAGCAACCAAGTTTCAAAGTGAATGTATGAACACTGAGGGCAGAAGAGAGTCAGAGTGATGTAGTGGTTTGAGCACTGGACTATGATTCCAGAGAACAGAGTTCAAATTCTGCTCAGCTATGCAAACCCACCGAGTGACTTTGGGCAAGTTACATTCCTTCAGCCTTAGAGAATGACAAAGGCAACCCCCTTCTGAACAAATTTTGCCACAGAAAACAAAACTAAACAAAACACACCTGTGATAGGTCACCTTAGGATCGCCATACATAGAAAACAACCTGAAGGCACACAATAACAAGAGAGATGAATATCTACCTTTACATTTAATATTTTTAATGGGGTCCTTTTCAGAACAGAGCTTTCACTATTTTTCACAGAGTACCACAGTTTTCTCACCAAGAAAATACTTAATGAAAGAGAAATAGAGAAAATCTTCCCATTACTCTTATATAAATATTATCAATTCTATAAGAAAGTGCACAAACACATATATACTGAATAATTATTATTGTCCAGAGGAGGGCAACCAAAATGGTGAAGAGTATGGAAACCATGCCCTGTGAGGAGCAACTTTGGGCCTTTACAGACTGCCAGAAATAATACAGCTCAAGGCCACTTTAACTGTCTTGCTTCCGTGTTAAGGAATCATGGGAACTGTAGTTTATTATGGCACCAGAGCTCTCTGACAGAGAAGACTCAATGTCCCAGAAAAAAATACACTTCCCATGATTTCCTAGCACTGAGCCAGAGCAGTTAAAGTGGCCTCAAGCTGCATTATTTCTGGCAGTCTGTAAAGGCCCTTAGGGAGCTGGGTATGTTTAGCTGGAGAAGAGAAGGTTAAGAGGTGATATGATAGCCCTGTTTAAATATTTGAGGATGGTGCAAGCATGTTTTGTGCTTCTCCAGAGACTAGGCCATGGAGCAATGGATGCAAACTATAAGAAAAAGAGATTCCACCTGAACATTAGGAAGAACTTCCTTACAGTAAGAGCTGTGCGACAGTAAAACAGACTCCCTCAGAGTGTGGTGGACTCCCCTTCTTTGGAAGTTTTTAAACATAGGCCAGATGGCCATTCTGTCAGGGGTACTTCGATGGTGTTTTCTTGCACAGCAGGGGGTAGGACTTGGTGGCCCTTGAAGTCTCTTGCAACTCTATGATTCTGTGATCATTACTATAGAATAGTAGCCTTCTGAATAGCTCAAACAGGATATAGAGTTGTTTATTACTTTTGTTCACATGAACAGAGTTATAAGATTCTAAAACAAGTGATGACCCAGTAAAATTAACAGAAAAATCACTTTTTTTTAATATATGCTCATCCCTCCCGATTTGCGGGGGATCTATTCTGGACCTCCCTGGGAATTGGAAATATTGCAAATATCCCATAGGATATAATGGCTGTGTGTTCCTAGAGGCATGCACCATTTTGCCCCTTGGAACTTGCTCTCCGCAAAACACTGAGGGTTGCAAACGGCAAGTCTGCGAATGGTGAGGGACGAGTGTAGTGGTGTCTTTCTAGATAAATGATTTGCCTGAATAACCACAAATCATCTACCAAATCTTATAATGGTGTTGATTCCAATACCAAAAAACAAAACAAAACAAAAACAAAAACAAATCTTCACAATTACATGCATTAACTGTTATGAAAAATGTACCTAAAATTAATTTTGGATTTTCTATTGAAAACCTGCCAGATGCTAATGAAAAAGATCATACCTCACCTCTTTCCAGACTTGTTAGGGCAGCTGCCAATGGGAGATGAAAAACACAGCATTCCAATATGGGAAGAGCCAAATAATAAAATAGGTAAAATATAGTTTATTTCTAAATTTGAAATCTATATAACAGATAATACACAAAGGTCCAGAGTCCAGATTTATTTCAGACAACATAACTCCAGTATATATAACTCCAATATTTAACTCCAGAATATATGTTACAGCACATGCACATGCATGTGCAAATTTGAAATATGTTGGTATTTCATTGGATGCTTACAGTCCCAGATGAAAGTCAATATAATATAAAACACCATAAAGTACAAAGGAATGACAACAGTCCTCAGATATCAGGCATTCATTGTAAACTCCTCCAAACTCTGTGACAATTTTTTCTCTTCACTTCAGAGCAGGGCAAAACTCCACTCAAAAGGACTGAGTCATACTCTCCAACTGTTCCAATTTGGCAGGGACAGTCCCACTTTTTCAGCTTTTTAAAAAATGTCCCAGGATCTCTCTCCACATCCCATTTCCCTACTTTGTCCTCAGTCTAATTCAACTGCTGGAAACTAAGTTCAAAGGGCAAGAGTAGTTTGCACTCAGTTAACTCAGAGGGAAGAAGAGGAGGGGAGAGGAGAGGGTGAGATCTGGCCGTTCCCAGTAGGCCTAGGCAAAAGCAAACTGCTGTAGTCTCTCATTGCTTGTGTGTTCTCCCTCATTGACAACTTTTGTCATCTTGACCTTGCTCTGATGTTACTTTGCCACATATGTTCCAGTTTTTATTTATAAAATGTTGGAGGATATATTGAGTATACACAGTATTTCACACATTAGAAATTTATCAGGACAGGGCCATCTTAAACATCCTGAAACACAATCTAATATATCCCTGTATAGAAGGAATTGTGTGATCTAGAAACATCTTTTGAAAATTATTTTGAAAGTATAATAGAACAAGTGATGAGATGTATTATAGAAAGATTGATGGGATAAATCATGCCTAGCTTGACCAAATGCAATGTTCATGCACTTGTGAGACAATGTCGTTACTTAATATTATTTAGCATATAATTTTAGGAATTGGCATAGCAGTATCTCAGAACATTAAGGACCTGAACTAAGACTTTGTTATCTTGCATTCTGAAAAACCCACAAAATAATTACTATTTTGTTCTAATATATGGATTTGTTTTGATTCTTTGGCTTTCAGCTCTTTGTGAGGCTCTGCCACATAAAAGGAAGGGAGGAAAGCCTTTATAGTCCACAGGACGCATGTTGGGGGGATGCCTTTTCAAAATCAATGACAACTGAACCAAGCAAATAATAGCAACAACAAAAGCCCTCAACACCTGCAAAAGGTCTCTGACAACACTGGCCTCCACAAAAAATATCAAGGCAACCACTGCATGATGACAAATATCCTTTATAAAAGGACTGATCTAATTATAAAGTTAAATTACAGAGTCCTTATAAAGAAAACACAATAACAGCAATGAGCCTGGAAATGGCCAAGTTCCCAACAAAATCATCCCTATTAGTTTCTATTCATGTCTTGAATTATGCCTTTTTATCTCTGTATAACATTCAGCATTTACTTACCATTAAATATCTGAAGCACTGCAAGTTTTTGCTGATGTTAATTCATCTCCCCAAAATAGAATATTCCAGCCTTTCCTCTGTTAGATATTTAAGCTATTCAGATTATTATTTCCTAGTTTCTTTCTTGAACTTTAAAACAGCAAGAAAGCTCAGAAGTAGAGGCATGATGATTGAGAGCTGGGTTTTTGAAAAAAAGCAGAGGTCACTTGATCTAACAATGAAAAAGTGGTCTCCTACCTTGAAAACAAACATTTCCCGGCGAAGAATAGCTAGTGTGTTAAAATTTCCATCACAGATATTGGGTTTGGCTCCAGGATAGGAAGGTTTGTCTCCTGTGGGTGGCCGGGGAGGTTTAGGCCTGTCATTCTTCCGTGGATCTACTGGGGGGACTGAACGATGGGGGGGCACTGTTGGCAGAGGTTTTGTTGGTGGTGAGATTTTGTCAGGTGGACCTGTTGGGGGGGAAAACATAGTGACATATTAATCTATAGGGATTGTGTAGTATTCAGTTTATGTGGCTATAATTGAAATTAGGTAAGAGCACCAAAAGAAAAATGTATCAAATGAACAATTTTGCATTGACAAGATGCTAGATTTAATGAACTAGTATAGCAGCTACCTGTGGTCCCTAAATATTTTCAGTGTATTTGAGTTCCAACATCTATTCCCATTCACATCAATTAACTGAGATGGAAATGTTCAAACTTTAATCAATGGCTAAAGCTTAGCTTAATTAATCACACTGAGTAGTTGATTAGAGCTTACAGCTCTACAACATCTTCTGTCTTTTCTGCTCTCTGTTTAAAATAATTGCCTGGACTTCTTGGTTGTAGAGATAAGTTTTAATCCACTGTGCGTAAATGCCCAATGCCAACATATTTCCTTCCTTACCTAAATTGGGAAATTGATAAATTGAAATTAGTTGCTAGCTTCAAGGCCAGGCTACTCAGAGTGGATTAATTGGGTCGAATCAAGTTTGTACAATTTGACAAAGCAACCCAGAAAAGAAAATGGAAGGGATGAATATAGAATTATGAAACTACAGGTGAGACTATTTTTGTTACACCAAGTTTAACATAACTATAAAAAACACAAACTTGATATACCTTATGGCTTCTGTACACATGTGCACACATAAAACAGACACACACCCAAATACATATAGTGAGAGAGAAAGAGAGAAAAAATAGCATGTTGAGTAGAATGCTATACTAGGACTCTTCTTGATATCTAGTTGTCTATGCACAAGGAATGTTTGGTATGGCACAAGCCTAAAAAACTAAAAACCAATAACTAGCTCTCACCTGCAATTAATTAACTAGGAAATGTTGATGAACTGAATATTTATCTACAAAGAATTCTGACAAATACTTTTATTAAGTTGCCAATTTAATCCATATTTTTAAAAATGTAAGCCAACAATTTATTTTTCCTTATGAACCTACCCATATTCTGAGATCTTCTGGGGAGGTCCTTCTCATGTTCTTGTTCTCCAGGCCTCCCGCTGCATCCACCAGTGAAGCAGGCCCACTATGGTGGATGAATGTAACTGGGCCAGGGCCAGAACCTCACCAATGGGTACGTCCAACCAGTGGGAGGCCCTTCTCTTTGTCCCACCACTCACTCACAGATATATGTGGTGGGAACACAGGAGAGGGCATGCTCAGTGGATGACCCAGATTCTGGAATGTCCTTCCCAAAGAGGTGAAACTGGCATCCTCCCCACTCTTTTTCTTGAAACAAGTGAAGACTTTTATGTTTTGACAGGCCTTTGAAAACTAATTGTTTATGCAGGATGG